CCATTTTGTGAAAAACAGTGAAGGCAAAGACTCCATCTGGATGGCTGGCAATGGAGAAAAACAGAGTCATGTTTCAGCTTCAAGATGAGTTACACTTAAAACCAAGCAAATTCCTCCTTCCCCTCGGGTGCTTCCTTTATGCAAATGGAAAAATTAGTTAGGGCTACTGATAAAGGAAAATTTGCAATTACTTTGCTAATACTCAATGTGAACTTTTTCAAGGGTACAGCGTGGAATGTGCTACTAGTTCAGCTACCTTCCACACACAAAACCAGGCTCAAGTTACCTATTAATCATAAGAACATATGGTAGAGATGTGGCCAGATTTGCTTGTTACTGATCTTCCCATGGCAGTTGCTAAGAGATACAGCAGAATGCATGGACATGCATACACACGCCCCCCCTTTACTTTTTCTTAGAAAGGTTAAGACTACATGAAAAGTGGCCAACTTTCTAAAATCTTAACTGAGATTACAGATACAGGAAACATATTTCCGAGGTAAGAATTATTTATTTATGTAATGTACAGGTCTGGGAAAGAGGCTTTAAAAGCCTTTAACTCTGAGGCTAAATCATAAGAAGTCAGAAAGCTTCTGTACTTGCTTCAGTCCAGCTTTCACAGGATTGGAGCAGACGACTGCTAAAAAAATCACTTAAGGGGAAGAAAGTGAAAACCACTGTAGGTGCACTAACTGTGTGTATCAGCAAGTGAAAAAAACCCATGGTAAACATTTAAATGTTGGAACTGGCTTTGTATTTTTTGTGTAGCGTTAGAAAAAATACACTCTCCTCTAACTTAAGCTTGTGCACGCACCCTCATGGTATGCACACAAGGCACAATCATTCAGGAGAAGTTACTTCTACCCTGCTTGTCTATGATCTATTTCCCGTTGTGCAGATATTTTAATTTATATGCGACTATTTGACATAATGTGCAGCAGTCTCCTTGGTAAGAGTTACGGGTATCTCTAGTGAAGAAACTAGTTTGAGAGACAGGCTTACTAAGAAAATGAATATGCTTTACATAAAGAAAGCAGACTTTTTGTGGTGTCTGCTTTAGCTCATACTCTATCAATTTAGCTTATAAAACCAGATGACTCAAGTCAGTCGAAAAATGTACTTTTCCTGTAGTTTTCACAAATCCTCCTCTACCAAGTATTTTAAAGCCTGAAATTGAGTTCTAACTGCCTTCATTAAAGATGTTGAGAACTGATTACAGTGGAAGAGAATGGGACCAGAACTGTATGCATCTAATATTCCAATCTAGATTTGCAAAAAACGTGAGCTTTGGCAGCATTTCCAAGCATTTGCTTAAATAATACCACTCTGAAATAATTTCCTTAGAGAAAAGAATAAAAATGGAACAAATACTGAAGTTAGTCTGTGCATTAACTTTTCCTAATGGCTCTAGTATCCAGTTCTTGAAGTATACACTCCAGTTCACGCTGCTTAGGCTGTAACGTCTCATCTTCTATGTTGTCCTTTCAAAATCAACCAAGTAACCTTGCTAATGAAGTTTCTGAAGTAGGTAGTGATATTTTCACTTAGAGGCTAGTGACACAGCATCTTTCTTGACCCAAATCAAATAAAAAGAAAACCAATGCTAAAACATACGGAAGAATTCAGTTTTGGTGATAAGATTAAAAATGTCCCCCTGATTTTAAATAGTTGCATGCTGGGGGTTGCATGACAGTGGCCAGGATTGTCTAAACTATGTTACCATTTCCATGCAATAATCTTACCACTCTGAGACACTGAATAACCTAGTGTATTTTTATTAAGTAAATGGAAGCAGAAGTTAATGAACATTTATTGGATCAACTTAACACCTTGAAATCACAGGCATCAGTCAGACTGAGAGGCAGCATACTGATAAGATCAAGTTTTCTTTACAAATCTATGAGCCCCTGTACAAAAATAAAGTATAAAAGGGGCAAACAGAAATATTTGTTTCTTCCCAATCCCAGGGCTGCTTCTGAGGTCACATTCAGCATAAATTTAGAGAAGTCCAAGAGGCGCCCTAAATTATGCACTGATATTTACAGTACTAGGAGGACCCTCCTCCAGTTGGAGATTGAAAAAAAAAAAAAAAAAAATCATAGCTCTGCACCTGCATGAGTCTTCCCTACGCAAGCGAAGCTTTCAGCTGAATTTATGGCAGCCTTTTGCCCTCTACGTACCACACAAATAACAGAGACGCATCAGAAGGGTTTGGGCAGGGCAGGAGGCAGGCGAGGTGTGGATTGGGCAGACTGAGGAGCCCTGGGCTTGCTCTGCGCTTCCTGGGACTGCGCTGAAACCAGTTCACGGAGCTCACTGGGCTACACTGGGCTACGTGGTTCAGTTGTACTTAAAGCCTAGGGGGGTTCCAAGTTAATCTTTTGCTATTGAAGGTTCCTATAAGGAAAACAGTCTGTGGTAAAGAGGAGGCAGGACAGTATGCTAACTGATGTGCTTTACAGTTTTTGTCTCTTGATAAAAGGCTATACAGAGAGAATAAAACAAACAAAGCTCTCCAAGTTAGTCTTTCTACTGTGTAATATTAACTGAATGGTAGCTCCACATAAGAGAAAAAAAGAGTATTATTTACATTAAATCACTACTTATTGTCATCTACATAAGGCAGAAGCACCCTCATGGGCCTTACGAGTTTTCTTTCCTTACAGGCTGGATACACAGAAACTCCAAGAAATTCACATTAACAGAGTCAAAAGTGTGTAGTCAAAACATTTATGGTGGACCATACCCGAATTATCAAAATTACTTTACCTGTTTAATGTCACAAACATTTGAGATGAAGAATGTGTCACTGAAGTCAGATAGCAATGCTTACCAGAGATGAAGTTTGTATTTCTAACATCAGAAACACTCCACTGCTTGATTTTTAGTAGGTCTTCCCATCTTTGTGCTTTACTGGGAAAAGAGGTAGTTTTGAGAGTGAATGAACCTGTCACTTCGATGAGCTCAGCTAGGGTGTAATACTAGCATTGCAACAGCTGATCTACAGGAACATCTGCTAAGGTTCATCCAGGACTAAAATGACACAGCACGACTACTTGAAAAATTACCTCTTACTCACTAAGTAAGTGAGTATCCCCTTTTACAGGGGCTAAATTCTGAACAGATGAGCAGCTCCTATTACTCCGATAGGTCCCTCTTCCTCGCTGGCTGCTTATGCGAGGCCCACACAGATAAGTTTCTCATCGGTTAGTTTCCAGCACTCCACAAACTACAAACTCAAGGGACTCGGTTACAGTACTTGTGGTGGGATGCACTCCCAAAGTGGCGTAAGTGGGTTCAAATGGATCAAGTTCCCTTCTGCGCTGCAGGCTGCAGGCTGTGCTGTGAATGCTGCGCAGAATAAACACCTTGCCTGACCTGGCTGGATGGGATGCCTAGGTGGACCTAGATTTTGCCTATGGATTTTCCAAGAATAGAGATCTGACCACCTGACCTGCAGTAGGAGTAGGCAGGAGTAAATTCGCAACCTATGTGCTTTTATGATAAAGGTTCAACCTTTTCTGATTACACGTGCAGAGGTCCCAAACAACTGGAAAGGCCCACAGATCAATTACAGCTGATAGCTCAACTTTGAGGATAAATCCTTTGAGAACACTGTATCATTTTAATACAAACACTAAACTTCATACTATACAACAGCACAGCCAACCAAGCTTTGCAGATAAATCATTTTAAGGAACGCTGTATTTCTGACACCTAAAAAGACGTGGCAGTGCTTGCTTCTGCTAACCATTCTCAGAAAAAAATGCAAACCATCTGGGCCAGTGAGAGCATGAAGAAGGGAAACAAAACACCGGGTCAGCACATGGTTAAATTTTCTTACTTGGCCCTGCTCTAATTCTGAATTAGTGGAACCCGTGCTTGTACAGGCGGAGCAGAGCCCCTGGAAGAGACTACAGGCTGTGCCCCTACAAGGGCCTTCCCTTAACAGACTTTAAGAAACCTTCTCTCACTGCACGAATCACTGATTTGTTCTTGAAACTCCCTGTGATGAAATGAAGGACCCAAAAGCATTTAATTGTTGAACACATAAAAGGAAGTATATTTAAAATAAAAAAAATTGGTCAGACTGTAGAGTCAATTACCATTTTTAAAGGAATTTACAGGGCTGTTGTAGATGAGTCTTTTGGAATAGTCAGTTTATCGCAATGCCTAAACTGGTTTCTTCATTGCACAGTATTTTCTTTTAAAATGTGTGCATTTTTAAACAATTACATACATATTAAAAATCAGCATTTCTTTGCTTAAACTTAATTAAAACGTTAATACTCTCAGACAACACAGATCTGAAATGGTGAAACCAGTAATTGCCCCCTCCCACCTTACAACAAATTAAATTGAGACAAAATTACAAACACATTTCACTACATGATTATTATTAATAAAAATCAGTTTTTTTTTTTTATAAAGTTGCCCAAAATGCAAGGGATGTGCATAGGTTTACAACTTAGTCAGAATAATATTTTACTTTATTCCCTTGGGTACGTGTTCCCATGAACGGAATGTACTTTGCTGTAGATTACAGGTTTTATCAACACAGATACACCAACGGCATGAACGCTTGCGACTGTCCACATGCATTAAGAGTCAAGACCCAATTTCAAATTTCTAAAAGTTTTACAGAGTTCTTCAAAGAGACAGTATCACATTATCTGGATGTTACACAAAAGTACTTAAAAATACTACCCTAGGGAAAAAAAGCAAAAAAAGGCCTTTAAAATTTATGAATTTGTTTCGTAACCACTAGACTAATTACTTCAAATAAATAAAGGAAAGCAAAGTATTCCAATCCATAAAATCAGACTCTAAAAAGAATGTAGTGTTCCACCCCCAAGTTAAGGTAACAGAATCATATTATTATTACTATTAAAATAGATTATAGAAAGCAGCATCTATTTTGTGCAGTTTTTAGGGGCCCTTGAAATAAAAAGCTATGATTTCCAAAAATATAACATTCCAAAGGACTGAATAATACATATATTTAAGGATACATTTTATTGAAGTTTAGGAGAAATGATTAAAAAAAAGATACTGTCTCTTTAAATTAGTGTTTAATTTTTTTCCCCCCTCCTCCTATCTATTCGGACATGACAATAATTATATTTTAGGTCACACTACATCTAGGTAGTCTCTAGGGGCCAAGACCTGTTGACACAAGGTCAGTAACGAAGAGGTTTTCCATGTATGAGGTGGTTCCCAGTAATGACAGATTTTTTTTCAATTCTTTCGTGACCGCTCTAGTAGACCCAGGAGACTGGGACCCACTGTGAGGCTGTACACACAAGCTCGATGGCTTCCTCCAGGTGCCTGATAGTTTCATCAATTTCATTGTTGATAATTGTTAGGTCAAAGTAGTGTGCATATGTTCTCTGTAAGATTTCAGACTCCTTCTGCAGGCGCTGAAGAGATTCATCCTGTTCGGCAGTCAAAAAAGAAAATGGGAGAGAGAGAAGTTGGATCCTTTCGTACTCTTCTACAACAGCTTTCTAACTGTTGCTTACAGAGAAGGAAACGGGCAAAAAAGCCTTAGGGAGGCCTAGGTGGTTTAGATCCCCCACCTAAATCTATGGAAATCACACGGGAGAAATGGCACAATTTCTCTCTTGAAGCTGACATTCAAACAGCACTCAGTTATTAACATCACTTGAGACAAAACACAAGTCTAGCGTTAAAAAAAGCAAGGCAGAGGATGGAAGCTTAGCAAAGCAGCACGGATGTGAGCAATGGAGACCATATATGAATAAAATGCACAAATACACGCTATTGGGCCTATGTCCAGGTAAGAACATGAGAAACAGGAGAGGGTATATTGTCAGGTATCAGCTGTTCCTGGTTTTGGTAATGTTTTCTGTTCAACATCAGTCTTCTGGGTCTACTTCCTTTAATAATCATTTACTGATAAGGAAGTTCTCACTCCGCATTACTCTGCAGTTCCTATTTCAGAGCATGCCATTTCCAGCATCTCTTAGTATGAGATCCTGAAGATGAACCATGCAGTCCGCGCTCAAGAAGGGCCAGCGACAGCAGACTGGTGCTCTCCATGGCTTTGTGTCCATGTCCTTAGAGAAACAAGTGCATCCTACTTTGTGGGTGCGCTACTGGACTCTGTGCAGCCAGCGACACTACAGCGATGGACTTTGTTAGCAAGGTCTGCCTTTCTGAGAGAGCGGGATTGCAAAAGGCTTCTTTCTAGGGCTCTGCAACAAGTTTGAATTCTCTTCCTGCAAACTCCCTTAGAAAATAAAAAAAATCATTTGCTGCTTTCAGGAACCTTGAAATAGCCACAGGAAAGTAATCAAGTCCTTCTCGCCCCACAGGCTTGGGGTGGATATGGGGCAAAATTAAGTATGAACGGTATAGACTCCTGCTGCTCTGTAGTATCTATAGGGTCACTTGATCAATCAACTGGGATACCCTTTATTATAACACAGTTTTAGGCTGCAGGAAGTACAGACACAGTGCCTATAGCTGTTTTCACAAGAAATTATTCTGGGACCAGAATTTTATCCAGCTAGTAAGAGACTCCCCCCCTCCCCTTTTTTCTGTTTAAACTTCCCAATTATTTGTAATTACAGTGACAAGTAGGTGTGGAACAGCGGCTTTCAGGTCCTCTGAAGGGAGCAACCTGCGCTGAGACAGTTTTCCTTCCCTGTAGCTACGAAACCAGCCACTTCTGGAGGAGAAGTTCTGTACCGAAGTTACAGTTCTGCTTCTCTCTTGAAGCTGCAGCCTCAAATGAGGGGGGGATGTCGCCTTCACTTGATAATCACTACAAATTTCATTCAAAGTCAGACAAATACTCCTCACATGCGCTTCTGTACAAGGGATGCTCCTTGTATGGACCATTATGCATCGCCAGCGATGCCTGGAACTTCCGTAGAAAATACCAGTGTATGCAAATTTAATTTATGCTATTAACAAATAGCATATGGATCAATATGGATCAATACTAATATTAAATATTTTTGTGGAACATTTCATATAGCCCAGTGTCTTTAAGCCAAAAACCTAGTTAGGTGAACTGCCAACTTCTCATATATTCCAAAAGAGACATCAATTTATAACAAAACTTTTCTGCTTAAATTAACCTACAAAGGAGAAAAAAAATCATACTTGTCAAGCAGAATATTTTCAGTGCTTTAAACATATCTAGCTAAGATTAATTTTATTTTTAAAGCCAGTCTTAGCAAAATCATATTGCACCTTTAAAAGAGTTTTAATCTCATGGCACAAGGCTAACAGTACCTGAACCCGCCCCTCCCAAAGCCTTAGAGCTGTTTAGTCATATGTAGCTTTTTAATTGCTATTCAGATTTCCCATCAGGGTCATCTTTACCTACAAGTATGAGAATGAACTTTTCTCACTAAAGCATCTATCTTACTGTGACTGACAATAAAAATCTGAAAAACTTAAAGCTATCTCATCTTAAAAAAAACAACTGGTAGGTAGAAAAGAATGAATACTAATATTTACCTTGCACACATAGATGTCACAAAACTAAGAGTTTCAAAAATTCATTAAATTTTAATATTTTTCTGACTTAGCTTCTCCTAGATCCAACTTTAGTGGGATCAAAGTGGGTTGTATTTTGGAATGTCTGAATTTCCTAACCTGTTGGAAATACGAAACATTACTTCTTTCATATACTTTTAGGGGCAGTAATAAGTTTGGGATAGGCCATTGCAGCAGTTTTCAAATAGGTTCAAACTTTCTCAAGTTCTGCAAAAAGAAAAGAGATTACAATTCTTGATTTTTGTTTTATTCTGGGACCAAATTTCACCTGTGTTTGTGACAGGGTATCTATTTGCACATCCAAAACCACATCAAACTTGACTAAGTGTTTCCTCTGTGTCTGTAAGTCCTAAATGCCAAAATTCATCTTCAAAGCTAACACTTCTGTAAGATTTTTGCTGTAGTAAGTTCCTCTCAATTTCTTTAAAATTTCTTAATTGAATTTTGAATAGTGAACATCCCAGATAATTCTCCAAGAAGAATATTCTCCAGCAGTTGTGCTCTCAATAGTGTCAAGAAAGAAGATATTTATCAAAATCTTCAGCTAGCTGCAGACAGACAAATGAACGGAAACAACTTCAGTAATTTTACATTTGGGAGCGGAACATCTGTCTTTTCTTCTTCCCTCAGCTCTCATGCAATAGGCATTTTATGTGAGCCTAGCTGCAGCGTGCCCATTATTGAAACAGACTTTTCTTTCCTTATCACTAGAATTCAGTTCACTTTCCTAAGTTCTTCTCTCCTTCTCCATCATAGCTGGCACAGAAAGGAGTGAAACATGGCTTTTATGCACAAAATCTCTCCGACGTGCATAATGGCCACCAGTGATATCTTCAGTCTCTGAGGACTGGGTTTTTTTGGCCTTAAAGTACATAGGACAATAGCTGCTGCTTGTGACAGTCAAAGCACAGCCTAACAAATTACTAATATTCCCTTCTAAGGCTGTGAACAATGTATAAACACACCATCAGGCCTTTGCCAATTTTGCTTGAACAGAAAGAAATTCTTCTCAACTTGAACAGCTGATGGACTGCAAACTTAAGAAAATTCCTTTTATTCTTTGGCTGGAGGAAGCATAGCTAAAATTCAGAAGAATTTGGCTCAATAAAGATTTACACATGGCTCAATAAAGATTTAGATCAACTCCTCTTTGCTGCTGTCTGGGCAATGGGAAGTAGAAAACAGCTGGAGGAAAGAGGAACTACTCCAGTGTTTCCTGGATATGCTCTCTCCTCTCTGTTTTAGCACAACAATAATCTGATTTAAGTTTCCTTGGTGATTAGACACTCTGGGAGATTTCCTATATGATTTAAATTGGTTTTGTGCTTTGCAGAATTGCTCATAGTACACTGCTATATTCAGTTGGAAAGCATAATATTTTGTCTCCTAACTCTTGCTGTGTCGTCCTTGATTATTGAGACATTTTGTGTGGTCTATGATAGACTAAAGTGTCTCAAGAGAGATACATTTAAGATCAGGCCTCTGCACTGATTTTACCACAAAGTTCAGATATACAGCTGTAAGAGTAGAAATTTTACTCTCTAGTTTCTTTTTACTAGCAGATAATTTTAGCGCAGATATCTGAAGTAATTATTACATTAAATTTTTATTCCAATGGCGAAAGTAATGTTGAATGGGAACGAGCATATCTACATTCTAAAACTACCATAAAAATAACCTACTATAAAAATAACCAGGACTACCTTGTCAGCCCCTAGCTGGTACTTACAGGCAATTTTCTGCACCATTTTGGCAGCTATGTACAATTAGTACGAGTGCAGGAAAATGAAAAGAAAAGCAAAGATGAAATTTAAGAAAACATAAGGGGGAAAAAAGGACAGTCATTTACAGAAGTGTTCTCAAAAAGCATAAGTAAAATCAACAAAGCAGGATACGAGGATAAACAGAAAGGGATACTCATTAAGCAAATGAACCTTTCAAAAAGGAAGCATGAATGGGAAACACAAAACACACGCTCTCCACCCTTGTTTGCTGCCTTGCAGGATGCTAACACACAGACACAATTTGCATATCTCCCTTCATGCAGCCCAGTAAACCTTGGGAAATAGGATCCTGTATTTGGGTATGGTTCTGTTGCTATTACCATTTCCTGCCCCTCCCTTTCCTTAAGTTTAATTGATTCATAAATTAGCATGCTTTCTAAGTCTGGCCTCAGTTCAGCAATTCATGTGCCTGAGTGAAACCCTGCATGCACAGAGACTAGTCACAAGAGCTTAAAATAAAGACAGTCTTACAGCATGAATGCAAATATTTAGAACGTAATACTTTCCTTCTAATATTTCTTTGGCAGGAACAAATATTTCCCCACCACTACTATGGGTCCTCTTCCCAGTGTACCATGGAAAACATTTTCTCCCTCATATCAACCATCCTAAATGTCTCTGTATTATATCCTACAGCTGGAAGATTAAAAGTTAAGTACCACTGGCAGATGAGTGTTGCCAAGGAAGACTATTTGGGAGCTGAGACACAGGTACGGAGGCAAGAAACCCAGGCAATTACATAATTCCACAGGGTACCTGACTGCCTGAGTGCTGCTGTAAGCACAATGCTTGCCTGACACATCCTAAGAACAATTCTAGCTATTTTTTAAGTGATACCATGCCATTTGCTCGCACGTAAGCAAATTCAGTGTAGAATACAAAATTTTAGTATTTTCCCAAGATCATACTGATTTACAGCATATGCCAACACCTGCAGTTAGACAAACTGTCACTTCACTAACATTGCAAATTGTGATGTTCTGAGAGATCTTCGTCTGTACACTCATGACATTTACCAGTTAGGGTATGGGTCCATAAGACACAGTGAAATGACATAACTTACTGCAGTGAAAGTTAAACGATCCTTCTTCCCCTTCCCATCTCTCTTCCTGCCTATATGCTTTCACTGCTTGTTCTGGCATTGGTGCTTGTCAGAGCCTTCATGAGCTGCTTGAAAGCTGACAAAAATCCAATTTAGAGCTAAAGTAGCTCACGAAAGGATCTGGTAAGTGCCATGGCCAGTGCAGACTGGCAGTGTATGTCCCAGAAGCAAGTCAGAGAGAATCACTCCCTTCAGCAACAGCAAACTAGCAGAATGCCTCAGCTGCCAGTAAAATTGCAACTCGAGGCCAATATTTTTCACTCTCCGCTTGCTATTTTAACAATCGTTCAGGGTATTTGCATTTAAATATGTTTGTCTTGTTCCTTATTTTCCTGCAAGCCTCTGCAGTGATGTCATAGTTTCATACTTATGATATTGTAATTACATTTCTATAGAAACAGGCTACAGAGACAGGGCTTCTGACTTTATTTTTGTGTGATCAAGGAGACATCTAGGAGATTTGGAACAGATTCATGGTCAAATCCAATTGATTAAATACCTTAATATCATGGTTTAAAAAAGGCTGAGCAGATAAAGTGTTTGTATAAAAACCGTTTGCCCTGTTGTGAGCTAAATGCAGAATTGCTTGATACCATCTTTGAAATCCGTAGCAATCTGCAGAGCAGATACTCTATAAAAACTAAGTAGGAAATTCACGATGTGGGCCTCCATGAACGCTTAACATTATTCTGCAAGCAATTACCCCTTTGGTCAAAGCTTCCAATTCTTAGAGAACAGTCTTTGAAATTAGTAAGCCTATTTCTGATATATATTTCCTGTATAGAAAAAATACTAAAAGATAAAGGTGGGATGACAGCACAGTCACGCACACCCATTTCTTCAGCTCAGGCCAGCTGTAATCTAGTGCTAGCATTGCAAAGAATTGAGTAATTTGTGCTAATGATTTGTCAAGGATTTGGAAATGTATCTTTGAGCTAGAGAAGGGAATGAAATAAAAGAATATGTATTTTTAGAATACATCATGTAGACCCTTCAACTTGAAGTTCATACTTTGAATTAGAAAAATCAGTTAATAAACAATAAATACATCTCAATCAACTTAATAATGCTGCCATACAACTGTCTTTCTGCCTCTCCATTTACAGACAAGGAAACAATTAGAGAGTCTTATCTACATATTTGAATCTCATCCTTAATTCTGTCTCTGATAGGACATTAGATTGCAACATGCCATACCTCATTAATGCCTGGGGTAATCGTAGGTGCAGCAATAAAAACAACAAAAGGAGCAAACTCTGCAGTTCTCAGGACCTTCAATGCCTAGGTGAAAAAAAAATCACATACTTTAGAAGAATCCCCCAACAATCAATGTGAAATAAGTTTAGTCACACAAGCAAAAGATACAAAATCATGATTTACCAATGCTGGTATTTGTTTTTAACAGATCTGGAGTCAGTTAGTAATACAGACACTTAACTTTTTGCATTGTTTTACATTTTTGGTGGTCAAATCATATATTTATCCTTAAAGTGAGTTTTCAAGACAATGAAAGCTTTAGCGTTTTCAGAGAGGCTCTTCCCATACAGTCTCAAAGAGTGCAGAATTCTGTTTGCATTTAAACTGAATGATTAATACCAGGTTAAAAATTCAGTCATGCCATAAATAGAGAAAAGAGCCAACTGTATTTTAGAATAAATATTGACTAGAACATAATTTTTTGTCTGACTTTTTCTACCTACTAAGACTTTTTAATTATTATTTTCTAAAACAAATGAAAATGTGATGTGAGAGGTTCAAAGTTTTTAAAAAGTAAGCATAGCGAAGTTTTAAAAACGTGAACATAGCTCTAATGCAGTAAATGCAACACCAATCCCCTGAACCAAATCTATGCAAAAGAAAAGAGTTCTCATTAAAAAGTTTGCTTAGTCGTAACTTACTGACACACAGAGCTGCCATAAGTGAAACTTTGGCACAGATCCAAGCTAGACTGAAGTGCAGGACAGCAAGTAAACATACCTCAGCTGAACTCAAATGGAGGGACCGGATAACGTAAGGCTACTAAAGGTCTTGATATAAAGGTCAATCTTTTTTTGCTCCTTCCACTTCCTGTCTTCTCTAAAGTGTTGTTTTTTTTTTTTAAGCAAACAAGCAAACAAAACCCCCAATCCATCCTTTTCCCAAGCTAAAGAGGTTTTCACTTCTGCTGCTTAAAACCCACCTATATATCATCTATGCCAACCTCCTCTAAACAAGAGATAAACCCTGTATGTGAAAGTCAAGAAAACTCACATAAGTAAGAGTACCCAAGGGAAAACAGGCAAGCAGTGTATGATAACTAGGAATAAGTCCGCAGTCAGGCTGGCCTTAATAAGCTGAGGTGGATGCATGATGAAGCTGGCTAAGAGGCTTGCTAGACACATGCTGGAGGAAGTGCAGCAAAGGCAGCTGTTACCAAATGTAAATATATTCTAACAAAGATTAAAATTGCTTCTGAGAATTGTAATGCTTCTGAATAATGCAAGTTGAAAAGGTTTATCAAGAGAGTTTGCTTTTAACAGCTGCTCCATTTGAATTAACTATAAATGCTGCTCTCCCTGAAAACTGTTAAATGTGGGATTTTATTTTTCAGAACAGAACCACACCAGCATACTATGTGAACTGTCCTAAATAATTTAGTCAGGTATCTTATTTCTGTTACGGAATTCTTAAGGAATTTTAATTTCTTGAATCCATTCACAAAGAAGAAAGAAGGCAGCAAATTTAAATAGATAACACTGGTCACAATTTTAATTTGTCATTCCTCCCATTTCCTTCAGTCTGCTAGAGTAATATAAACAACATGTTTGCCCATATTCATGTTGTTCCACTTAACAAAAAATATAAACACGTCCCTGTAAATTGGAAGTCATGACTACATGGATGTTTCAAAGGAAACGTATCAGAATTTTCCACTGAAGATGTTATATAATGAATGAACAAACTATTAGTGTTTCTTGAGGGCCTGATTTTCCTTCCTACCTTCTTCCGAAAAGGTAGCAACACAGAAAGGAATTTATAAAGTAACAACACTGATCTGGTCATTGTGCAAACAGGATCAATATCGGTGATTGACCACCAATGTTTCTGACCATGCTCAATAGTGATATGGAGCCAAGAGTCAGTTAGGAACTAGTGATAGGACAAAAGGAAATGGCCTCAAGTTGCGCCAGGGGAGGTTTAGATTGGACATTAGGAAAAATTTCTCTACTGAAAGAGTGGTCAGGCCTTGGAACAGGCTGCCCAGGGAAGTGGTAGAGTCACCATCCCTGAAGTCTTTAAAAGACGTGTAGATGAGGTGCTTAGGGACATGGTTTAGTGGGCATGGTGGTGTTGGGTTGACGGTTGGACTTGATGATCTTAGAGGTCTTCTCCAACCTTAATGATTCTATGATTACCCTCTAATACAGCATCAAAGAGAAATTTTTGAAAATATCGGAACATTACCCCTAGCAGGCAAGGACAATCACTTATTTTGATACATTTCACTGGACATAAGACTAATATACATGGTAAGTAGATTTTCGAGCTAGAGTGGTTGCATACCTAAACTATGAATTTGTTTCTGCTGTATGTTCTTCTAACCAGATGATTACCAGAATTCTACTTCACAGATTGATAGCTTGGTGTTCCAGGGACTTTTGTTCCACATTACTGCATTACTTATCTAGTGTGCAATCAATAAAAATAAATATATCTCAATAAAATAAGGTTGAAGGATTTGTGATGAGTCCCATTTTTATATACTTCCAATTAGTTACCTGAGGTTCTACATCAAGTATTGCAATTAATCCCTGCTCGTGGATCTTTCGTATTGTTTCCAGTTTTGTCCCATACATTGCATCCTCATGGCTGCCATATTCCAAATATTCATTGTTTGATATATCCTGCATCATTTGGTCATGTGATACAAAGTAGTAATTTTTCCCATTTTCTTCGTCTTTCTTTGGAGGTCGGGTTGTGTCTGAAAATACAAAATATTTTTAGTGCAAAAGCAATATTAAACTTATATATGGCTTTTTGTTAGGTTTATCAATACTTATTCATTGAATGATGACCTGTCAAATCACATATAGAACAACAAAGCATGAGCTCAGGGTAGGCAGAAATGACAGGGGCTGGGAAAAGCAGAAGTCTGGGGGATGTGTGTTGGGAAAAGCAGGAGATGAAGGGATGTGGAAAAGGTAAAAATCAAAAGGTAACAAAGGAAGAACAGAAGGTCATAAATAACCTTCATCTGGTCAAGACTGTAAGACTCTATCAGCTGCTTTCAACAGCAAACAAAAGCCAGATCTCACAGATTTTATAGTTTCTAAACAATTAAATTAACATCTCCATTTTACCCCAGGGGCCAGTACTGGGCCCAAGCCTGTTCAACATCTTCATTAATGATCTGGATGATGGGGCAGAGCATATCCTCAGCAAGGATGTCAATGATAGAAAACTGGGAGGAGTGGCTGATACGCCAGAGAGTTGGGCTACCATCCAGAAGGACCCTGACAAGCTGGAGAAATAGATGGCCAGGAACCTCATGAAGTTCAGTAAGGGGAAGTGCCAAGTCCTGCAACTGGGGAGGAACAGCCCCATGCACCAGTACATGCTGGGGGCTGACCAGTTGGAAAGCAGCTCTCCAGAAAAGGCCCTGTGGGGGGTCCTGGTAGACACTCAGTTGAACATGAGCCAGCAGTGTGCCCCTGTGGCAAAGAAGGGCTAAAGGTATCCTGGGCTGCATTAGACAAAGTATTGGCAGCAGGTGGAGGGAGGTAATTCTTCCCCTCTACTCAGCACTGGTGAGGCCAAACCTGGAGTGCTGTGTCCAGTTCTGGGGTCCCAGTACAAGAAAGACGTGGACATACTGGAGAAAGTCCAGTGAAGGGGCACTAAGGGACTGGAGCACCTCTCCTACGAGGAAAGGCTGAGAGTTGGGACTGTTCAGCCTGGAGAAGAGAAGGCTCAGGGGGGATCTCATCAATGAGTACAAATATCTAAAGTGAAGATGTGAAGAAGATGGAGCTAGTCTCTTTTCAGTGGTGCTCAGTGACAGGACAAGAGGTAATGGGCACGCACTGAAACACGGGAATGTAAGGAAACACTTTTTCACTGTGAGAGTGACCGAGCACTGGCAGAGGTTGCCCAGAGAGGTGGTGGAGTTTCCATCCTTGGAGATTTTCAAAAGCCACCTGGACACGGTCCTGGGCAACTGGCTGTAGGTGGCCCTGCTTGAGCAGGGGGATTGGACCAGATGACTTCCAGAGGTAATGATCTCAACCACTCTGTGATTCTGTAGGTCATCTGCTCCTCTCTTCCTCACAGGCACGCTGACATCCACTTGCTTATCTTTCTTCTAATATTCCCTCACGTACAGCTTTACTCTCATATTTTTCCACTACCACATTTATGTTGGTGACATATCTGAAACACCACATCTCTTCCCAATCTAATCCCATATCTTCCAACAACCCTATCATAATTTCAAACAAGGTATCAAAAAATTAAACTCATCTTCTGTTTTTAATTATACCTATTACTGTTCTGAGGATTAATTAGCAATGTTCTGAGGATTAATTAGCATATTTCAAAAATGAAAAGCTCTATAGAAATATTATAGGTCATGGTTATTATTTTAAGGAATTCAAGAACAATGGATTATATAAATCATATAATATCACTATACTACCCACTGCTGCCTTAGGTCTACTGAACTTACATTTCCCCCAAATCCTCTTCTTTTGTAAAAACATTTCTGTATTTTCCTTTTTTTACTTAAATTCTTATGAGGTTTTCTTCTTCTGAGTGTGAAAGTGTAAGTCTAAAAAGTGGGTGAGGGCCTGATTACTTGTGGTCACGAGAGATGAAAGCTACTTAGCAATAACATACTTTTTGAGTATATTGCTTCTGCAGGCCTATGTGGTAAGAAATGTATGGCCTACTAATCCTTTTAATTAACTACCATTGTGTGTGACATGACCTTTACGATCAGGTTTTCAGTAGATAGACAATTTCTCCATCAAGCATTCCCCAAAACTCCACACCCTATCTCAAACTCCACAGGCCTATCTCAAAAGCTACCTACTCCTACCACAGTTTTGTAAAAGAATGCAGAAAAAGCAGTAAAATCCATCTCTGAGAGTTGGAGAGAATAAATTTAATTACCTAGAGTCAGCTGAAAGCCAGATCAGGTTCCCATAATACTTAAAGTGTATGTGATGTATTTTATATGATCTATTTATATCATTAATATAAGGAAGTAATTTGGGTTTCTAAAGACCAGCATAAAGTGCTATTTTAAATGCCCTAACTGTCTTAAATCTGAAAGATCCACATAGGACTATTAGATATAAGACAGGAGGTAAAGGAGACCATTGCTCTTTTGGAGTGGGGCTGGAGGTCAAGTGATGTCTAAAACAGGCATCTAAACATCATACTGATGCTTAAGCATCTAAATTGCATCCTGATTTGCAGTCTAGTCTTGTTAGTCTTCTTATATAATCAGTAAAGCAATTTCAGTGCTTCCACAGAGCAGGAACCTAATATGCAAGCAATCTAAGGCATGGTCATCATGGTATAGGTGAGTCCATTTTAATAGGTATTTGAAGATAAAATAACTAGTTCAGCTTCTACCTCCCCACAGCAATACAGTTAGTGTTTGAGAGAGACTGGGTGAAAAGCATAAAAAGCATACTGTAAAACATTTATTACTCTTTGTTTTAGTTCTTTGTAATGGTGAACATATTTGCTGGGTTACTACTCCCTTCCCCCCATATAGTCTTGTGTCTGTATTGAATAACATAGGTACAATGTACATCACACACTCCTGGCATTGCACTTTTGAAGTGTCTAATCCAGGATTTTAGTGTCTAGATACAAACAATAGTGTGACAAACAGTGCAGTTTCACATTGCTGCCAGAGTGATTTAATGGCTCGTGCTTTCCAAAGGGCTAGGTCTTTCTCTTTTCCTTCTGCTGGCACTGGTCTTTGTCTAATTCGTTAGCGAGCAAGCCTGGGGAACTTAAATCAGCAGCAAACTAAGACTTTTCCCCTTCCAAATATGTTTACAGATAAGTTCTTAAAAATAATACTTTTTAGCAACCACAAAATCCTTATAGGTAGAAAAACATCTAAGTGCAATTTTAAAGTAAAGCACTAACAAAGTATAAAGAAAATTAAACTAATGCATAATAGCCATCAATGTAACTTCTGAGCCATGTATGGTGTTTCTGAAGTCAGCCTGAAATAGAGTGGACAGATTTAGCTGCTGGATGCTCTTGTTTCAGAATGCCTAGCTTGAGGAAAAAGGGTGCATCTCCAAGTGATCATGTAGTAGGATACGCAATTCCTGCCATGGTATTGGTAGAGATTGTCATGAAGGGAAAACACCCCTGTGCTTTTTGTAACAACCCACTTGTAAGCAGTGAAGTTAATTGCGTTTTCTTATTGTCATCTCTGGAAACTTGAAGTTATTTTAGTATAATATCAGTCCTCAAGGCTAGGCTGTGAAAAGTAATTTAAAACATTCAGATAAGGTACACATTAAAGGTTTCCTCTAAATCCAGTTTATATTTCTTCTCATGGGAATTAAACAGAGTTTTCAATGTCGTGGCTCTTCCAGACTTACCTGAACTGTAAATGTAAAAGTAGCAAAGAAAAATGAAAAATATTTTAGCCTTCACTCCAAATTAACAAACATTTGGGGTAGAGAGAAGTATGCTTAACAAGAAGTTTTGTGAATACTAGGAAACATTCAATGTAAAAGTGGTGTTACCTACTACCCCTCCCTCTGAAAAAAACAAAAGAAGAAATATACCCAGTCCTATCACAGTTCCCACCTTTAAGATAGGATTTGTCTCAGCAGAACTGAACACAAGTAGTACTACAATGGGTATATTGTTAAGGATGCTACAAACAATTTTGCACTACATTGAACATTGGTACTTACGAGGAATGGGGTAAGCAAATCTGTCTGGGTGTTTTGTGATGAGTGTGTTTTTTATGTGTCTTCTTCCAACACCATGTGCACCTAATCAACAACACAAAAGTGAATTATAAATTTTCCACCAGAAGGGGCTCAAAACTATGCTGTTATGTTCAGAATAATAACTCAAAATTACCTAGTAAGACTAGTGTTTTCCTTTTGAATGCTGGCAGTTTTACTACTTCTTCATATGTGACGAGATCTAATTGATCGAACACTAAAACACAAAAGAAACCCCCACAGGGATAAGAAAAAAAGGCATATTGAGGGTGATAATTAATTGTGCTACAAATTACAATTTTAGCAAGTTTTAGATTTACAATACAAAGTAATATGTTACAGAAAATAAAACCATTTCATTATGCAAATTTAACAAAAGTGTTCATTTAAAAAACTGTTAAAAAGCAATAACAAAGCTACTGAAATGCTCAGAAAAGTTTGCATGTCCTTTCATGCAGTATTCAGCAGACCACAAAAATTAGCTAAAATGGCATGCCATTCATGTTTGTATTCCTAAGAAATAGCAATGTTAAAGAAAAATCTGTAGACAATGACCAACATGAATACAATATGAGAACATCTATTTACACTAAAGATAGGGATACTTTCATAACCATGTTTTAACAAGATCTATGAGAAATGTATAGAAAAGAATGTTAATACTTTGTGGTATTTATTCTTCACAACTACCACCATATTAATTGTAATTAGAGTTCTCTTTAAACACACGTGCTGGTTAAATGACATGCTTTTAAAACTTGTGACAGAATGAAGAATTCTAACGAAAAGTGATGGCATTACATAAAAGAACCTCCACCATATTTAGGGAAAAATTGTAAAAGTATTATTTCAGAAATCATTTCCAATGCAGTTGAAATTGGATGAATTCCATCATGCCTATCAATCTATTGTCAATTGCCAAGGTATGTAATGATTGACAAATCAAGTTTTGTTCATTAAAACCAGCTTATTCCTCCTGTGGCCAGAAACACATCATCTGTGGTAATTCTTGCAGAATTCTAATGAAAAAAGAAGCCAGGAGGCAGTTAACTATATTTATAAAGATTACACAAATCAGCAATTGTGAGCAGAATAACGAACAAGAGTTTTCAGTTCTGTATTTATGCATGCTATAAAAAGAAGGGAGGAGAGACTCCATCTAAAATATGGGATTCTTTGAGTGTTTCCAAGTCCTAAGCTGGTGTATTCACCTCAATTATATCCCATCCACCTTTCAGGATGAGTCCAGATGCATCCCTCTCCCTCTCCCCCTATCCAAAATCCCTTAGGAAAGTAGGCAATGGCAGGAGCTTTAGTTTGCTTGCTCCAGAAGTCCCCAGCCACCAAGATCAGCATTAAGACTGTGGAGCCTACCAGAAAGCACATGCTCTTTGTACTAAAGTCCCAGATAAAGCAGCAAAGGATTTAACTTAATATATTTCTTTTTATAGAGCAGACTTTTCAATTCAACAGCAGTCTTTTTACCCTAGAGAAAAAGTACAACTACTTCAATTTGGTCAAACTACAAATCAGTCAATTGACATACTCAACTCTTCAAGACCTTGAAAAGATACAGATATGAAAACTTCCTAGTCCATTTAAAGCATTTTGAATTTCATCCTAAAGAAGAATCTCTTTCAACCTTTCCCCAAATATTACAAGCAAGAATTTAGTAATATTTTTCTTCCATTCCGCAAACCTACAAACATGGAATTCTTACTACTGTCATTTTTGCACCTTCACACTATTTGAACTAATTAATAATCCATTTTCATACTAGAAAGGGCTAAAGATCTACAACATGTTAAACAGTTTTACCATTCTAACGATCTAGGCCTGCAAGTATCTTTTCCCATTAAAAAATAATAAAAAAATCAATCCTTTATTTTCTTCTTGAACAAAACCACATTATGTTAGATACAAACAACAGGAACAAACAACAGAAACAATACATATTAATGCCTTCATCACAAACTAGCAGCATGGAGAAGATGTGTCTCAGTCTACATGGAGTTAACTAATGATTGTAGGGTTTTCAAGTGCAAAAAAAAAATGATTCATTTTTTAATATACACAGGATATGAGGAATACAGGGCACATTTAAAGACTGAACTTTAATGCTTCTGTGTTACTAGCTAATAAAGAAAAGGAGTTCTTGAAAGGAAACAGTAAGAAGCAAATAAAGAAGCATTGTCACTTGACAGGTTACTTACATGCACAGAGGCCATTGGGAGTAAGACAGCATGAAAAATGTACAGGGGTCATTGAGATATGGCTCATAATATATTAGTAAAATAAAAAGTATATGCACAAAATAAACTTTACCATGCAATAGTCTAAACGCAAGGCAGATAAATCACATTAAGAAATGATAAACATATTTTATAAAAGCTTGGCAATTTTCTACATTATGCATAATATGAAGCATAGTTCTAGTATGTTCTAAAGAGTGTTCTTTTATGAAGTCCTGCAATAACATTTCAGTAAAATAAATAAAAAAATATATCTAGATATCACTGCAGTGTATCTCTAGAGCATTTATAAAAGTGTCGGTGAACCTAATAATGAAAAATATTTAATTTTTTCTGTGGGCTTTGGTCTAAAACTGACTTTACAATGGTAAGATGTATGATCATGAAATTGTTTCTTGAAGGACACAATACTCTAATGTCAAGTATGGAGGAAAGAAAAACAGGATGATATTTTTCTTGTAAGGGAGAATATATTTACTTTTAACTATAAAAAGTAACTGAAATAGTCTCCTCTCTACTTCATAAACTATGTCTGATTTGCAGAATAATTTAATTTCTAGTTCTAGTAATATCTATATCACTCCAAAATCTTAACTTTCAAATCATTAGCTAGCCACACAAATCTTAGCTGACTATGAGGTATTTTACTAGGTCATTTTTCAGAACCCCAGTTCAGTCTCATCTCTAAGACAAAAATAACAAGGAAGTCCAAATAGATTACACACTGCTAAACGGTTTATTGAATTTTGTACTAAGATATAAAACAATACCAAACGTGAGAGAGTAGTTCAGAGAAGGTAAATTCAGCACCATCTTAGTTAAACTTAAAAAATTCATGTGAGCACCATAGCACTTCAGTGAATCTCTTTATATCCTACATTTGGCGTCATTCCCCGGAATATTACTGGCATCACCTTTAATACCTCAAGGACACTAAGATTCATACACATTTCTAAGAGAAATCTTGATTCCAATGCATTTTCATTAACTTTTTGACTTCTTAGGGGGAAGGGGAAGTGTCAGATGGTATTCTGAAAAGAACAGTTTCTTTTCTGGTCATTTTGATAATTTTTAATGTTCATGTTTCTAATTTTTGGCAAACACTGTGCTGTGATGTAAAGTGACTAACAGTGGCAAGCACTAAGGCAGGCAAACTGCGTGACTCGAAGTGCTGTCAACCTTCTTCAGATTGTCCCCCCTACATCATGATAGGAAAGTCTAGATTACCCTCCTTTCAGGGATTTAATTGATACAAAGACTTTGAGCTAGTTTTGCTCCTAAAATATTGCCTGCTCCTTCTCCTTCCCTGGCCATCCTCTTTCCTTTGCTTATTTCTTCATAGCATGCCGTGCTTAGTCACACTGACATTATTAGCTATGTAGTTGCACTGTGAACTGTATTAAGAAATATAACTGCTCGAAAGAAAAAGAATCACTGTTTTTTGCTGGGTTGTTCTTCAATTAATCCAGTTAACAGCATGGCCACGCAAAGTTATACTGGCGCAACTGAAGGGAGTAGCAATGCTGTGGGAATGTATGCTGGGAGCAATTGATAATACTTTAAAACCAGTATTGTCAAAGACTTTAGGTCATAAAATCCAGTGTCTTCTCAACAGTTTTTGCTAAGGTCATAATTAGTAAAACATGGTTTAGTGCTACTGCAATGAAGTGGAAACATTAAAGCAACCAGAATGTTAAACCACCAAAAGGAAGGAAGGAAGTTAAAACTTTCAATCTCTACTTGTAAGGGATTTCAGAGTTACAAGTAATTCTATATTTAAGTGTGAACATCTTAAATGTGATGGTGAATTAAGGAGTATAAATGACAATTACTGTTCTTTGACTTTCTTAGATTTTATTTTCAAATTACTTCTACGTAAACATAAATTCTGTAGTACTGATACATTATGAGCTCTGATACTGCACACAGATTGTACAGGTAAGAAGAATGTGAAAATACAGATTTATATTGTTTAATTCGTGTACTCAAGAATGCAACTGAAAAAAACCCAGAAATTAATGCAATATATAAAATACTTCCATTACACTGTTTGGTCAGGTATAGCAAATTCTAATAAAAATCTCTGCAAGTCTCCCAAGAGACCACAACAACATATTTATCATCACAGTATGTGATACCACAATCCAAAAGCAACAGAAACTATTTCAACAAATTGAGTGTTTTATATTAAAAGAAGAAAAGAACTAAATTCTGCTCAGGAACAAAGGGGTCTTCCTCCTTTACTACTAAAACTACTGAATTTTGCTCAGCAAGGATCTCTTACTCTACACGTCTACTTTCAAAAATTTCTACAACAATTCAATTTTTCAGCAGTCTAAATAGAAACCCAAAACTTAGGATTCAGGCAGAAATCACTGCAAGGAGGATAAACTTCCACAGTTTGTTCTATTTGGTAACTGTAAATAACACACTGACTACACAATGGCTCTTATTCTACTTCTAGCTGTAATGATTCAAGAAAAATGCTCTTTCATGATGTTTTCACATATATAATCTATAACTATAAACACATATTAACAAGGATGCTATTGAAAAGTCTTCTGTAGAGCACAGTACATTTATATAGATTGTCAAATTCATATTCTGTTGGTTTCTAGTGCGCCTTTAAATATAAAACCCAAAACAATGTAAGCCTATATTAGGATATATTATGATGCATTTATTTTGTTGCAGCATGGCTCTCACTGATTAAGCTTATGGTTAAATAGCAAAGAACAAGCAGAGTAATGTTGGCACAATTAGAATTTTACTTATATTTTCCTAAGTACCTCATTAGGTTTATATAACAGTGCCAGCTGAACAATTAATGGCAAAGTTTAGATTGTAAAAAATTTAACCTGTTAAAGATACTTGCTTTTTTTTTTTTTTTCATACCTGCATTGTGCTTTGCCAAATATTTGTCTTTGTACTGCTTTTTTTTCTTTCCAAACCAAGTACAGCTGGCCTGTTGCTCCTGTTTGGTCTTCTCCATGGCAATACAAGCAACTCGCCTGGCGTATGGAGGAGAAAAAATGTTTTTTCTTGTAATCAACATATTTTTAAAAAGCCACACAGAATGAATTAGAAAAATAAGACTTTTTAATAGTACAAGAGTACAGTAAAACTTTTCAAAACCTTTTTTTTTGATGACTTAAAAGCACTTATATACAGAGGTATTTTGATACAAACAATATCTTGTTAGTGGTAGATCATTAAAGTTCACAGATCAAGTGAGCATGGGAGGAAGGGTAGCCACTAAAATGGCTGTAGACCACTTTGCAGCAGATTAGACTGGAAGAGCACGAAGTCTGAAAAGACCGCTATGGTTTAAATTACTTCAGAGCAAGTTGTGTTGTGCTGTGGAACTGTTTTGAGGTCGATCTTTAGGATGAAGTATTGCAAGTGTTCCTGTTGCAATGCATTCCAGTGTCTCCCTTATGTCAGGGCTTGCAAGGGAGCTTTAGAGATGGAATGAAATGTCTTTTCTATCTCTGTTTCTCTTCTAGCAATATCTCCCTTAGCCAGTCCAGGTGGCACAGGTGCTGTTAAACCCTTTACAACACTCTAGTTCTTTTACGTAGCAAATCTTGTATAAAATACTTTGGGCTAGATTATCCATATTGATAAACTTTCTTGAGTCATGGCCATAACTTCCATGGCCCAGGACTTGCTTGCCAGAGTTTGTGCTGATACATTTAAAATATTTACTAAACAGCTTCTGCAAGAGGTTGTTTAAAGGCTCTGCATTGCTTTTGCGGTACTCAGTGCCCTTGCTGTTCATTGAATCTGTCATTTAGAAATTTTTGCACTGTGATTTCTTTCTACTTTTTAGTTTTCACATGAAAAATGAAAAGGAGAGAAAACCCCCAAACTCCCTCAATAACCTTTGTGCTTGACGTTTTGCTAACACCTTATTTCCTGCAGCACTTGCATGTAAGCAGTACTAATGAAAACACCATTTAGAAGCTAAAAGAGAAATTAATTTGACCCCCTTACATAAACAATTTGTATGTAGCCTTCAATCCTAGTTTCCTATAGTATATCAGAAAGCACAAATAATGTTTACTAACACAGGTGTTTATTTTTCTAATGTAACCACACGTATAAGATTGCATGCAACCCTTACTGCTATGAATAGATGAGAAAAAAAAAGTAATCAATGCCACAGAAACTGAGGCAATACATAGACTTTTGTTTGGAAAAAGAAAAAATCATACAAAAACTAGCTATACAACAATGAAAAGTGTGAAAGACAGAAATAAAAGCGAAGCTAAATTCATCTTTATAGAAAACTTAAGTCATACCATTCTTGAAGCTCAGGAGAAGGAATAAGACCTGCAGTACCATTTTTGGAATTCTCAAGTTTACCCTGCCACCAGTTGTGATCATCTTTGCTAATGATTTGGATAATATCACCAACTCGGAATCTGATGCCAGCTTCTTTGCAAGGAATGAGATCGTCCTTTGCTGGATCATATTCAAATTGTGCTCTTACATATATCTATAAAAAAGAGTTTATAAAAGACACTGCGATATTATTACTGGTACAGTATTAAGAGTAACAGGTGAAAATTTGAGCTGTGCATGTAGCTACACATACTGTTCGCAACAAGCAAAGGAAGAAACAGAATGGCAAAAGCATAAGTGATAGTTGAAAATGAAACAGAAAAAAAAACCCCAGCAAACAATGGAGACATATGATGTTATTTTGAAAGCTCATGTCTTCTACATACTGTGAAACCTGAACAGCAAAAATGAACACATGTAATAGAGTCCCTCAAATCAATATTAACTACCATGAATCATTACAGACTAAAAGCCAGCAGCTTACAACTTGAACTGTACTGTACTTTCCAACTGAAGTCCCATGATATGTTTTAAAAATTTGTATGACAGGAAATTTTATTGGAGAATATAAAGGACTTAGGCTACGTTACGGATCTTTAGTACTTAGACCTTGTCTTTTTTAGATTAAATAGGAAGTCTTCTGTTGCACCTATCGTATATAGTTACTTGGGAGGAATCTGGGAATTCTCTGAATGGATTTTTCAGTAAAAGTCTATTCCCGTATAAATGAAAACTAATGATTTGAATAAGTTATTCTCTAAGCAACATTAACAGAAAGAATTCAGATTCTGACTTCACAATTTAAAATAATATATCAATCCTTTGTGGGTTTAATGAGGTCTCATCCCTAGAAAATAAAAATAAAAGTGATTTCCAGTTTTGGTTGCTAATTACAGCCCTGATGCATCCAAGGACCTTAAAATCAGAATTAAGTGTCATGTCCAAGATGGGTAATTTCTACAGTTTATGAACTTCAAACATCACCCTATAGCATCTCAGACACCCATGTATATTCTACTGCTGATTTTCTTTAGTAAGAATTTTAATAAAATTGATTTTTTTTTTAAAAAAAATTTACGTTGCAAAGTAATATCCTTCATTTAAACTGTAACAAACACTTTTCAACTTTGCTGAAATTCTGCTCCAAAAATAGCTCTAACTATGCAGCGTTAGCACTATTCATGGCACTTTAAAAAGTTAATTTCTATAGTAATCCAATCTGCAACCCAACTTATGAATAAATTAACTTAAAATGGCTAATCACTACTGGCTTGTACCTGATGCTCTTTCATCTGTTTACAGTGAAACATCAGATAATACCAATATAGATCTCAACTTTTAATATACTAAATCTGACCCTTGTTCTGCTGTGCATTGAGTGTGTGAGTTTAGACAAGCAACCCAACTTCTTTTAATCACCTGAAAAATAGGATATTTTGAAACCAACTATGTTTATTTAGTAACGGGCTTTCTACGAAGTAATCAGTATTGAACCAATCCCTTATTTGCCCACAACCTTATCAAACATAGGTCTAGAAAAGTAAGCAGTATTTTTACCATCTAGAAACTTCCTGCTCCAGTTTGAGCCATTATCCACCATATATTGGCTGTTCATGGAACGTTACAGACTTCCTTACAGATAGCAATGTATCTGTTATCCAAGCCCTTACTGTCTTCAAGGATGACAAGCTACCAGAAAAAGATGCTGGTTCAATGGGAGAAGACTCTTGAAAAAAACAGGTAACTACAAATGGTGCGAGGAACACCATTATTCTGATATTGCCTTGAAGAAACGCTCTTCTCCTGGGAAAAATAACTTATGAGAGGAAACCCAAAACCTAACACAACAGCTCGGAAGGTCTTTCATGGAGCCTTTCCAGGACTACATTCAGGCAGCTGGAAACCTCACAAGACAACAGAAAGTTCAAAGAACCATATAGCTGTAAGCTTTAAAAATGGGAAACGAAGCGAGAGCAATCCATCCTTGTAATAGATATTCCAGCTAACTTAACCAGACAGTAGTATAAAAAGATTGTCAAAGACAACAGATCATGCAGTCCATTGACTCTTTTGAATGGAATTGCAAGAGTAGTTATTAAAACCCTCGGCAGAATAAGAGGTTGAGTCCACGGTTAAGATTCAGAGGCAGATTCTGGAAGGGCTGTATATAAATGGAGCAGTTACCGAAGATGAATCACAAACCACTTGATGGTATAACGTTGATTTGGAGGCTGCAGTAAAAAAAAAAAAAAAATTCTTAAAACTGCAAAGGGAGTCATAGGGAATCCTCTGCAGAGCCCTTAAGGGCTTTCTTGGAATTCTCTGGAGAGGGAAGATCTTTCTTTGGTCCATGATGACATGTACTACCGTCAAGGTAACAAAGTTAAGGGAGGTTACTGAATCTGGGCCTTAGGACTGAAAATGTAAGAGGCTGTCTTCAGACTTATCAACTCTTAGTAGAAACTGTCCTTAATATTTTTCTTTGAAGAGCTTTCTTAATGTTAGTAATTAGTTATAGACCAACTTAAGCTTTAGAATCTTTGTCAGTACAATGTTTTAGGGTAGAGTATCAGACACTAGCCATTCTAGTCTCCATTTCAGCTAAAATATAAATCTGAGCTTTCCTCTAAGATGAAAATCTGCACAGGTCACTGCACAACAGTAAATCTATTAATGCATTATGAACTAAAACAGCATCTCCAGTTACATTTACAATGACACTGTAACTCTCACACATATGGACACATGAAAAAAATGCTATTCTGAATTAGCCACAAACAAATGAGTTAAAAAAGAAAAATGAAAAAAATGGAACAAATTTTCCAAGCTTAAATGTTTTAGTCCAGCACATACAGAATATGAGGGGGAAAAAGATAAGCAGGGATGTTCACTAGCAGCTAAGTTTACAAAAATTCCCATGGAGGATATCTATTCACCTGTCGTCCTTTTGGTTGTGTTGTCGATGGCAAGTCCTGCAGAATAAAGTCAACCCAGGAGAAGAAATTTTCATTTTACTTTTTAAGGGCATACAACACCATTTGTTAGTGATTCATACTACATTACAGTAAAATGGTAAGTCAGACAAAAGTATAAAGCATTGACCCATGTTTAGAAATATTTTTTTCGTAAAGAAAAATCAAACCCAGGCTGTTTAGCAGCAAGCTGAAGAAAGCAGGTAAAAAGTTTAAGCAGATAGAGAATGTGCTTTTTAATAAATAATTCAGCATCTTCAACACAAAAGCACCGTCAAGTGAAAGAGGCTCTTTACGTGAATGCCTTTTCCACTTAATACTTAGTCTTGTTTTTAAAAGAGAAGGATGACTATTATAAATATTAAAAATTTTATTGTTAAAAATGTGTAAGGTGATTAATTGTGCTGAGGAATAAGATTATAACTATTAATTGTGTTACAAATTCAATTTAATTCACAAAAATGTCTTAAATTTTTCATCCACAATTATTTTTCATTGTATTAATTAATAAGTACTTTACCTTGTGGCAAATAATTTCTAAGTTGTCATTTTTTTAAAGGAGTTAAAGGAGTAGTTACTCAGTTTCTTTTTTTTTTTTTTAGCTAGTCCCATGAACTCATGATACTGACAGCACTCTTACTGAAGGAACTTGCGTGTACAGTTACTACATTGGTCCAAACAATGACAAATGATAAACAACACAAATTTTAACATTAATATACTTTAGAAAAACAGGAGATCAACAGCACCTTTCTACCTGAATACATATGAAACAGAAGTACTTTGTGTTAAAGATGTGATGATAATAGCTTGGTTTGTAGTGCAGTTTAAAGCCACTTCCTTTTGCTTTTCATATCCAGGCAAGGCTCATATTTCACAAAGTATGTGCACGTACCACAACAGCAGAGGGCACACCAATTCGTTAACTCAGATAGCGGAAACCAGTACACGTTCCAGAGGTCTCTCAAAACACAAAACTTAAAAGAGTCTAAAATGTCTTGAAATACCAACTGCACAGTTATTCTTTCTTCAAACACTGCTTCCAAAGTTCACGATGGAAATAAAACTTCCACTTTAAACCTTTCCTTAGTTTTGAGGAAACTGCTAACAATGATTTAAGGATGATTGAAGTGTCACATTACAGTTATTAACATTTAATTAACTATATGGCTTTTAATGAGAAGCATACGTTGGGAAAAACCCTTAAAAAAAGAAAACGGGGAGTTACATATGTAATAACCTTGGTTCTATCAGTAGGACAAAATTTTCCACTGACCACATGATAAGTATAACAGTAATGGCAGATGAGCACCAACAAAACTTTCACACTTTCTCTGTGTGGAACTGGAAATCTTACCGAAACAGAATTGTTAGTGCTGCTATGACCATTAGCTGGGGACTGTCTGGATGTAGAGGGGGAATCTCTCTGAAATAAGACACAAGGTTCATTAACAACACAACACTATCACAGGAACACAGATATACTTAAAAGAACAGTTACATCCACAGCCTTATAACCATTTGCTTAGCTGCTTCATCTGTGAAAGCTTCCACACTACAAACTCCATAAATCTGAAAACTTTTTTCATAGTTTAAGATTCAGGTTTGACATTTTGATGTATCCTAGGTAATAATATTTTTATACTGCCTTAGCAATCAAACAGCTTTTTAATCACTGAGTATCTGGGACCTCTTAGATCTCATGTGGCTGACAATGCTAAAGGTATGACACCATTAGTCATACTGGTGTCTTTGTTAAAGGTAATTACCTGAAAATTATATGCTGAATAATAGCATTGAATAGCTTTGAACAGAGTGAGGCACATATTCAAATTTAAAGACACTTCTAAATCTTTTTTCAGCTATGTGGTGGAGGTCAGTGTTGATCAGTTTCTACTCCATAAGATACATCTCTCTGCAGTGTCTCAAAGACACATGAGAAGGAAGCTGGATACTCTCTTCTCCTTCCTCATCCATTTTACAGCATACTGAGGTTTTTTTTTCATCCAACATTCTTATAGGCTTAGAAACATTAAACTTTGCCAAAATATATCACTTTAAAAAAGCCACCTTTCTTAACTCAGACTACCAGTGTGGTTGTACACTTCAGTGAGGAGACAGCAGATGTGGGGTGCATACCGGGAAATTCTACAGAAAGGATAATAGGAATTTCTGACTGGGTTTTGCAGAGGCAAGGAAGTCACTTGTAGAACAATCTTTTTTGCATGCTATTTTGATTGTATAGTACTTAATTGCATATGATCAGATAATTGAGCCACCTCTTCAGGAGATAAAATAATTCAATCATACATTGTGAAAAAAAAATCCCCTTTAGCACCAAAGGAATTTTGGAATATGATATTCCATGTCAAAGGTCAATTTAGGAATGTCTGGTAATTTTGCATAACGTCAAGGACAGCAGAAAAAAAGGGCTAGAAGAGTTTTCAAAGAAAACAAAGTTATCCCTGTCATATTTTATCAACACAAGTGCCCTCTGTGAACAAATTAAAAACCAGAATTGGAGCTAAACTGTTCATGCAACAACATTAATCAGGTAAATATTCTCGAACTTATACTGATTATGCGATAGCACTCATAGCTATTTAAAAGCATCAAGAAAAGTTAAAATGACAGGCAATACTTTATCACTCTTGCTGCCTGTACGCTTGATGTGCAACGGACTCACGTAGAACTTCTGCACTTTTTTGTGGACTCATTAGATACAATTTCACAGAAAGTTCCATGCGTAGCTATCTAGATGCTTACTTTGACTTTAACACAGTTGAGGACAGATCTGACAATATTACGGCCGTAAAGTCATTGTGATTCAAAGTATGTAGGTCTGTATACTTACGCTACATGCATAGGAACAAAATGCTCACTTGGCTCCCGCAACTATTTGCAACATAGAACAGACTGCGGGAAATCAGCTCTAATTCTGTTTACAAAATCACTCCAGCATAACAAGTTTAAAATGTTCAAATGAGACCAAATAAGCTATTCACTACTGCAAAAAAAAAAAAGAAAAAAGAAAAGCCTAAAGGAACCGTTATTCTTTTTTCTTTGTGTGTACGGGATTATCAGTATCACCTTTATCAAATAGCAGCTAGGAGATACTTCTTTCCAAAAAAGTGACTTCCTTCTTTTATAAAGAGATTTTCTGCTTACTCTGCAATTCTGTCTCTGCCAATTTCTCACTTTTAAGAAGAAGTGAAAAATTAATTTTACTTTTTTTTTTCTTTTTCTTCTTTTTTTTTTTTTTTTAAACCTAGTTTGTTATGATCTGCTAGTCAGTGATGGTTTAGCAAGGGAATGCTTTGGAAAGTGATGCAAGCACCCAAGTCATTTGGAGAAAAACAAGTTTAGAGTAACTTGGAGAATGCCACTATTTCCGGACTCTCTTGAAGGCTTCTCCCTTTGAAGGAAATTTTCTTGGTTTGAGAATGTTTTGATTTGTACTCCTCCAACAATTCTCCACAAAAGACAGCATATTACTCAAAGCAAATGTTCATAATAACATACTGAGGAAAATACACATTTTCAGCGCTATTGGTGATTTCAGTACTAACTGTAAGAAATTAATCTATCAAGCTAGTCAAGAGGCATATGTACTATTTTTAAATAATTAGGCAGTTCAGCCACAATTTCAAAGGCATTTAGATTCTTAATTTCCTAGGGACCTGGTCTTTCTTTCCAAAAATATCAGACTCAAAAGTTAAGAGAAAAACTGTATTATGCACAGTATAATGAGCCAAATCAATGAGTAGAGAGATCCTTGTAGAATGCTAGGACTGCTTAGAACTGGACTGGAAAATCTCAGCTTTGGTTGTGAGTTTGTTTCTCCAGTAAATCAGAAAAAGCCCTAGTTCTCCTGGGGATAAGAGCAGAAAAAGACTTGGAGGATCCAATGATGCTGAGTAGTGTAAAAGTGTTATCATCGTATTTCAGTACAGATAGTATTGACTATCTAGACTTCCCAATCTTGTCTAGCCCCAAGCCAAATAACAAAACGGCAGTCTTCTGGATCCTTGCTCTTCAGTTCAAGCACCGTAGCTTAAGCCTCAGAGGAAACAATCACAATTATTTCCAAATGATAGCAAAACTAGTTTCCCGTTGATTCCTTGTTATTAGGTGTGGATTATGAACGATAAATAAATGCATTTGAGATGCAATCCTATCGCAGAAATCAATTACTAGATGTGGCGTGATCAAATTAGATATTGACAAGAACAGCTAGATTAACGAAACTGTTGCCAGATCCACAAAAAAAAAGAGAGACTTTCCAAAAACCTGAAAATACATTTCAATTTCAGTCTTGCTCAAGGAACCTTTCTGACAGTATTTTTAATACAAATGTAAAAAATGTTTAAGACTATAAAAAGTGTTATAGTCTGAGGACTAATGGAAACATTGCAAGACTAAAGGAAAAAAACCATGGTTATTACCACCAGCTTTAAAAAAAAAAAAATAT